AGAACCTAAGGATTCAGCCAGTAGAATAAGGGTTCCTGGAGGGTACTGTGGGGAAGGTTGGGGTGTGTGTAAAAGGGTGATGATATAAAAAAGCTCAAGAATGTTTTGAAACTGACTGTGGTAGCAATTGTACAATATTGCTTGATATGATTGAACTGTGGGCTGATACACTATCCGTATTACCTCCCAGTAAAAAAGGTTTTTTGGGGAAAAAAATTTAAAACAAGGCATGAAAGAATTCTCATTTGCGCAATACTCCAGCGGCTGCTGATGTGGGCTAAATAGAGCTGTGAATTTTGGTTTAGCACCACCTGGACCTGGGTTTGAATCCGCTCCGTTTCCACAGCTGCTGGGGAAGTGATGGTGTAAACACACGAAATACGAAAACGGCACAAGTTTCACACGTCTTGCGCGCGGCCCCAGCAAAGCTGACCCGCGGGGCCCGCCCAACAGCGCCGCGGGCAACAGGGGTGAAGGCCGGGGCGACCAGCCCCCCACGCACGCCTCAGCACAAGCACCTGGCGGAGCTCCGGAACCCCGATTCGCGGCCTCGGGGGAGAGTCGGGACGCACGACGCTGAGACCCCTCCCCTAATTGGCGGAGGCCGCGAGGCCTGGGCGCGCGCGTGCGCAAACGCCCGGACGGACCGCAGCTTCCGGCGCGCTCGCCTTGGGCGGTAGGAAGCGCGCGAGGGGGGAACCTTCACCAGCGCCGTTGCTTTGGGGCCTCTGAGGGCCCTCCGTGGCAGGAAGGGGATGGGACACGAAACCCACCCCGAGGGGCAGCCCTGGCCCTTCTGAGCGAGGCCCCGCCGCTTTCCAAGCCGCGATCCTCCTTCGGCCCTCCAGGGGGCGGGCGCCCCGGCGGCGCGGGCCCTGCGAGTGGAATGGCCGCCCAGGCCCAGGCCGGCGGACTTCCGCGGGCTCCGTGAAGGGCGCAGGGAAGCCCGAGGCTCCCCTCCCCCCGCCCCCGGCGCAGCCCCGCACGGTGAGAAGCAGGTAACGGCCGGGAAGGGCACGGTCGGCTTTTCGTCTATCTGTGACTTAGTCTCCTTCCGCGCTCTGGCGTCGCCTCCTCGCGCTCCGCGGCGCAGCCTTTGTGTTATTCCTGGCGGGGGTCGCGGGGCAACGTGGTTCGGGGGTTGTTAGAGGCGAGGAAGGCGGGCTTTCGGGACTTCGCTCTGGGTAGGGCCAGGCGAGGGGCTGGGGGTGGGTGGGTCTCGCCGGAGGTCGGGGCAAAGGTCACGGCCGGGGCGGGGGCTGCGGGATTTCCGTCGCGGCCCCCCCCCAACTGGCCGGGGTCCGAGGGGTGACAGGTGCCTGTTTGGGAAGCTTGTCGAAACGGGCTTGTCCCTGGGCGAGATTGGGCTGAGTCAGTGGGCAGGTTGACTCAGCGTTTCCTCGTGGGCTGGTCAAGTTCGGACACGTTCCGAATCTGCAGAAAAAGGAGCTAAGCCCGGACTTGTCTCCCGCTGCGGCTATTTAAAAGGCAGGTCTCTCCCGGGCTGTGTTCATTGCTGGCTGCAAGCGCCCCACGCCTTTTCCCCAGCTGATCCCAGGTAAGGCCCGGCTTGCTATTGGCTTTGGTTTTAATGCAAGTCTGCTTTATAGGTGATTGTAAACCTTCTTTGTATGTGATTTTGTCTTTTTCACAGATGTTTCGTTATTTCAACTTTTCATCATTTGTGTTGTTCTTTTGTTTTCTTTTTTTGTTTGGTTTCACACTTGTAGGCAAATGTGCAATACCAACATGTCTGGGTCTTCCACCGATGGTGCTGCTGCTGCAAGCACCTCACAGATTCCTGCTTCAGAACAAGAGACGCTGGTTGGTATTTTTGGTTCGAGTGTTAACTTTTTAGACGTTTTATTTTGTTAATTGACGACCACTACAGCTCTTTTAGTGAAAATTTAAGTACATTGCTCAACTCTTGTGGGCTGCAAGTTAGACCTGCCAGCCTCTGGGGGAGAAAGATGAAGCTGCTTACTCCTGTTAAGATTTACATTTTCAGGGACCCTGTATAGGGTTGCTATGGAACAGCATTGGTTGTTCAGCCTAGTTCTGCTTGTGTGAGACCAGACTGCATGGAGCAAAAGTTAACTTGAAGAGTCAGTGAATAGTTTATGACCCCTTTATTCAGCCAATTTTAAAAAAAGAATTTAATTACATTCTTAATTAAACACAGATGCAGAAGTTGTGCATATTATGTAACTTTTTTTTTCTACCTTGAACTGTCAAATGTTTTCTTAGAAGCACAAATTCCATTCGTGCGGGCTGTAAAAGACTGGCTTTCTACACGTTTAGAGTTAGGGTCTTGGAAACCTACAGGGCAGTCTTACCCTGCTTTAGGGGGTTGCTGTGAGTCCAAATTGTCTCCATGGCAGTGAGTTTGGCACTTTGATAAAGTTAAAAACAGAAAATCTAGTCTTTTCTTCCTCCGTGTATCCGTTTAGATCTTTTTCTACATGTGTGTCCACATGTGTACCACATGTATGAGGAGGCTTCAGAAAGTTATTTCATGGGACAACAGAACTAACCAATGGAACTTTTCCCACAAGCTTTCTGAAGGCCCGTCATATGTTTAAATTTGTGCTACAGTCTTGTTAACGGTATTTTACTGCAACAGGATGGCACTAATGGTGTTCTGCAATTGGCATTCTCCAACCATGCCAATAAATAAAACCTGCATTTTTTTTATGGCAGCATAGTGTTCACTATCATGACTAAACCATTTTAGAAATTATGCCTCTACTGATAGATTTTTTTTTTCTTGATACAATTTTTTTTTTATGCCTCTACTGATAGATTTTAAGATGTTGTCTTATTTGTATTTTCCTAATTTCTGCATCTTTTCATTGAAGTCACTTGTGCTGCTTCTGGAATTTACCTGGTTCACTTATCTAATTTCTTTCAGGCTTGTTGTAGATACGTTTTTTAGCCAGTAGTAGTAGTTCTGTGTGCCAAGTATGTTTTAACTTTTTTGGTTACAAAAGTTTCATTTAACTTTATGTTGACTTTTGACCATTGAGAAATCTTGAGTTTTATGAAGTAAAATTTGTTTTTGTTTTATTTGAAATTTCACACTTTGGAAGACCTCATATCAAGGTTATGCAAATTATTATTATTATTTTTAACATTTTATTAGGGGCTCATACAACTGTTATCGCAATCCATACACACATCAATTGTGTAAAGCACATTTGTACATTGTTTCTCAAAACATTTTCTCTCCACTTAAACCCCCGACATTAGGTCCTCATTTTTCCGGTTATGCAAATTATTCCTGTGGTTTTCTAGTGGTTTTGTTTTTTATATCTAGACCTGTAGGTAGTGGTTTTGTTTTTAATATCTAGACCTGTAGGTAGAATGTCTCTCTTTAAAAAATTCAAAGTTAAGATTGGTATTGTCTTTTATAGTAGTTTTCTTGTTAGTGTGCATGTTGTGTGTGCCTGCTAGTCACTTCTGACTCACTGCAACTGTGTATGATAATAGGACAGCCAGCCCCATTGGATTTTCTTGGGTGTAGTGTCTATGGGAACCGAAACCAGTGGGTTTGAACCTCCTCTCTTTAGCACCTGAACACTTCAGCATTGCGCCACCAAGGCCCCTTGCATTCCTCTTAAGTCTCAGCAAACGACTAGTGACTATCTGTTGCAGATTTTTACTCAAGATATTTTATGTAATTTGAAGTTAACCTAGCATACTGTGGGTGTTAAAAAGTAGGGTTATATAGTTCATATATGAGCAGTTTTATTCCATATAAAATGTTTTAAGCATGTTTCAGCCATCACTGGGTAGCTGCAGACAAATTCTCTAAGTGACACACTTGTCTTAGTCTGGTAGGGTATCTTAAAAAAAAGTTTAGTTAAAACCATAGGTTTCGAGGGTCTGCTAGGCAGCCTGTTCAATTCAAGGCAGAGAGGTCAGCTTGGAAGGCTTTTTGTTGGGAGGGGTGCTCTCCAAAGGAATAATTTGATAGATTCTCTTATAGGACACAGAATTATCATGGAAACTTTTTATTATGAAGATGTTCTCAGAAAATCGAAAACTGCATTAGGGGTGTGTGGTGGGGAGGGGGGTTGTCCCAGAAAGTTACACTGAGGAATTTTTTTCCTTCAAGAGAATGCCTACTATTCTTTGAAGGTAGCAAGGGCAGTCCTGGTTTTTTGCCCTTTCAAACTTCATTTTGTTCCTCAAACTCAAATGACATATCAAAGGAACATTGCTTGAGTCCCCTGAGGATGCCCAAACTGGTGTTTGGACATGATGTAAATTGAAGAGCACCGAACTGTTCAAGGAAAAGCTAGAGAGTTGGAAGTTACACCTTTAGAAGTGTAAAAAAAAAAAAGTGTATGGACTTAAAAGCAAAAAACTAAAACAACTGTATAGACCAGTGGTTCTCCACCTTCCTAATGCCGCGACCGTTTCATAGTTCCTCATGTTGTGGTGACCCCTAACCATAAAATTATTATTTTTTAATCATTTTATTGAGGGCTCGTACAATTCTTATCACAATCCATCTATCCATCCATTATGTCAAGCACATTTGTACATTTGTTGCCGTCATCACTCAAAAAACATTTGCTTTCTGAGCCCTTGATATCAGCTCCTCCATAAAATTCTTTTCATTGCTACTTCCTAACTGTAATTTTGCTAGTTATGAATCGTAATGTAAGTATCTGATATGCAGGATGTATTTTCATTGTTAAAATTGAACATAATTAAAGCACAGTAATCACAAAAACTATGTAATTATGTATTGTGAAATATTTCAAATTACAAATAAATGAAATTTTGTCTTGAAGCATGGTGTAGCATGGGTAACAGTCTTCATGCTGGGTCCTCGTAAGTGAGCGGACCGCCTGGAGACGGATAGAAGAGCGATGTCTTGGTTCCTAAGACCATCAAAAATATGTTTTCCGATGGTCTTAGAGGACCTGTTAGACCCTCAAAGGGGTCTTGACCCACAGGTTGAGAACTGCTGGTATAGGAGTTAGATAGGTGGTATGTAAGGAGGCAATAGCTTCACATTTTGATTTTTAACCCAGATTGCTATGAGTTCTTCAATACTTATTGGCTTACAAACTTTGGAGGAGGAGTTTTTACTGTTTATGCAAAGTTCATTCTCTACATAACCTGAAAAGTGTGCATATGTAAGCAAGTAACAGAAAATCTGTGTGGTTAAAATAATGATTCAGTTCTGTTTATTGTGTATTTTAAGTTTTCAATAATTAAATATTGTGTATTCTCTTGTTGAACATATTCTTTAAAAATTTTTTATTATGAGTTAGGTGAAGGTTCACAGGACAAACCAATTTTCCATTCAACAAGTCATATACATTTTGTCTCATGTCATTGATTGCAATCCCCACAGTGTAGCTTCACTTAGCCCCTTTCCTTCCTGTGTTTCCTACTTCCCTCCCCACCTCCCACTCCCCACAAACCATCCTGTCTTCTGATCTTGGCCCTTAAACCAGCGGTGCCATATTGGTCTCCAATGGCCGATTATTATAAGGATTGTGTATCTCCCTTGTAGGCCTATCTTATTTTACCCTTAGCCACGATGAGTTCCTTTTCATGAAGGGTGGCTGGCTGTGGGCCATAGTCTCAGGAGTAATAGATTTTTAAATCTCTTTCTGAGAGTTAGATTTCCAAACTGGAATGCTATCAGTGAGGTGTGAGGCAGTCTGTGAGGGAGATGCAAATTTTAGTTTTTAGGTTGTAATGTAGGCAGCATGCAGGGCCAGAGTGTCTGCACATAGTCTTTTCCCTTTTGTCAATTGCATTCTCAGTACCACTTTAGAATCCAGATCAAGCAAGCCAGATTTTATTGAAATTTAGCCACATGCATTAGTTCATGTTTATAATTTGCTGTTATAATGGCAAACTTAAGTCATTGTGACATACTATTTATCACCTGACCCTTTTCAGAAAAAGTTTTCCCACCCTGATCTACTTGGTAGGCTTGAGTGCAGGTCATTTGTCTTTTTTGGTTGTTGCAGTTCTTAGCAGGCTTTGGTCTATACTGAAGCTCAGTAAATGTTCGTCAGGCATTTATTTAAATTGTAGAGCATCTGCGTCAGTGTAACAGTATGCTACAGTAAGAGATAAATGCTAGGTTGTAGTTGAAGTCTGTGATCCATCAGCTTGAGTTCATTCAACTCTCTAGCCTTCAGGAAGCACCTGAATCTTTCCCATTCTCTGCTGCCCCGTGCTGGTGTGGGGACAGATGGTGCTACAGTATGCGCAGAGGAAATCCAGACGGGTTGTTTCCATTTGCCTTGGGGCCTGTCTCTACAACTCTGCCACACGCCCATTCCTGAGGTGGAAGGGGTTTTGAGGACTTTGGAGCTGGAGTTGGGGCTCTGGTGATGTGTAGTTGCTTGTGCATTAAGTTGCTAATTGAAAGGTCAGCGGTTCAGTCCCACCAGATCCACAGGAGGAAAATGAGGCTGCCTACTCCCATAAAGATAAAACGTCTCAGAAACCTAGGGAGGCAGCTCCACTCTGCTCTGTAAGGTTGCTGTGACTCGTCATCACCTGGCTGGGAGTGAGTTTGGGGTTGTCTGTGTGTGTGGTGGTGGTTGAACCTTCAGAATCCTTATCTGCAGAAAGGGGACATTGGGAGAAGGATCCACCCTACTCAAAAAAAAAGTTATTCTCTTAGAGTCTGTAACAGGTTATACTTGGGAATTCCATTGTTTGAGTATGTAAAGGCAGTATGTTGCTTTGAGGTGAGCAGTTTTGGAGAGCCTGGTTGGCATTTGGGGCTGCTAACCTTAAGGTCTGAGGTTCAAACTCACCAGCTGCTCCTAGGGAAAATGATGATGCTGTCTGCTCCTGTAAAGATTGGCAGGCTTGGAACTTACAGGCTCACTATGAGTCGGGATCAACTTAACATCAGGGTTTGTTTATTTGTTTGTTTTTAAATAAAATTTTAGCCTTCCTTGACATTTGTGTAGTAGTACATCTTCCCCCAACTTTTTTTTCCCAAACCCTCTTGATAGTGTAGTACATGGTCTATATAGGTTAACTAGTACATTATTAAAAAAAATACTATGACATGTTTTGAAATTTAGCCTTGTGAGATGATTAAACATTGTGTCTCTTGCCTTAATTGAATACACCATATTTACTGAAAGGCTTATAGTGCTAGACTGATTTTGGAGGTATAATATCAACTCTGTTTTTTTATAGGTAAGACCAAAGCCATTGCTTTTGAAGTTGTTGAAGTCTGTTGGTGCACAGAAAGACACTTATACTATGAAAGAGGTACGCTTACCTTACAAATAGAGAAATAAACTAATGTCTTATTATTATATGTAACCATTCTCAGGGTTTCCAGGACCAAGGGGATCATTGACCAGCTAGAGTAGTTTTCAAGAGTAACATTATTATATACTATATAAGTTGAAATTGACTGGATGATGGCATTGGGTTTGTTTTGGTGTTTTGGAGAAGGTGATAGAGTATTTGGACTTTATTTTGAAGCTGAAGACAAATTGTATTTGAGTTTCCCTTCACAACTGGGAACTCAGAGACCAGTGGAAGCAAGAGTTCTTAACCTTTGTTATCTGACCCCATTTGGCAAACTGGGGTAACACATGTATAGCCCTTCTCAAAATCATGTTTTTAATTTCACAGAATAAAATATATAGGATTACAAAGGAAACATTATATTACAAAACAGTTATCATTATTAAACAAATTTGTGATAATGTGCTTTTTGAATTATTAACATTAAATAATAAGATTTAGCAGTATATATCTATATAATCTTGAAGCAGTGAGGAGTATAAATGATATTTGGAGATGTTTTTGACAAGGATATGAAATGAAATACATATTGCTAATACCAGTGTGGCTTGCTGCCTACATTTGTAATTGAAAGAAGAGCTAAATTATAGTTAGTGGAAATAGGAACTTTTTTTTTCTCAACCACATTAGTGGAGTCACTGAATTCTATCCATGTCCCTTTTGGGAGTCCATGGCCTTTTGGGAGTCCATGGCACTAAGGTTAACAATCTCTGCAGTAAGGATATGTCAGAATAGAATACCAAACTTTCTGGAATTGAGCATATTTCATGAATGTGCTGTTTACAGGAATACAACATTTCAATGTATTTATTATAAAACTGTGCGCAAAATAACTTTTGAGTGACCATCTGGGCCACCCTAGGCAAAATTACAATGAATGTAATGTGCTTAGTCACATTGCTCCCACATAGTTCATGGGGACTACAGTGCTTAAGGCACAGAAGTGCCCTGCCCTATCAGGATAGTGGGACAGGAGGGAATTCCAGACCCTTTCCTTTCCAGCCAAGTGAGTGCTCAGTAGAAGGACTCTGGTTTCTCTTCCTTTTCCTTTTCTACGCTGGGAAGCCATCTCTTCGATCCATAATTACATAGCAGCATCAAACCCGGAGTCTGCTTAATCAAACATCTATAATGCTTGTAGGGGATAGTATTGCCTTAAGTGATGTTTTTAGGACTGTTAACTTGAGTTTGATGTTATTATATGAGGGGCTTCAGAAAGTTCATGGAATAACTGTTAATTTTCTCATGTCTAATTTGGTGATAATAATTCTACAAAATGGAATTATAATGAAACAATGCTAGTACATTATCATTCATAAAGTGCCATTCAAATGTTGTTAGATGCCATTAAGTCTGTTTCAGCTCTCGCAACAATGAGACTTCCCAGTCCTGTGCCGTCCTCACAATTGTACTTAATGTTGGAGCTTATGGTTGGAGCCCGTGGTTAAACCCATCTTGTCGAGGATCTTTCTCTTTTCTCACTGTCCGTTTTCCCAGTTATCATGTTCTTCTCCAGGGAGTTATCGCTCCTGATAACTTTGCCGGAGTTTAAGGTGAAGCCCAAGATGAAGTTTTGCCATACTTCTCAGGAGCATAGTTGGCTATATTTCTTCCAAGACAGACTTGTTTGTTCAGGGCACTTTCAATATTCTTTTCCAACATCATAATTCAAAATGCATCAATTCTTCTTCAGTCTTCTTTATTCAGTGTCCCAACTTTCATATGCATATGAGGCAATTGAAAATACCATGGCTTGGGTCAGGCTCATCTTAGTCCTCAAAATAGCACCCTTGCTTTGCAATGCTAAAAAGGACTGGGCAGCAGATCCACTCACGCAGTGTAGATAGGGGACCTTAAATGGATCTCTTCCTTTGTATTCAAGGAGCAAATGGAATAAAATTTAACTTTATATTGGTGATTCAGTCATTATTATTGATTATAATATAGATTATACTGATAACTTTGAAGACTGTTTCATTCACTAAATTCTCACAGAACATCACGTCCCTATAATTGGCCACTTTTTGTCGTCTTCACTGATTGAAGGGTTGGAGAGTGTCTGATTATTTGCCAAAGGGCTTTCTCTGGTCACTGCCACATTTTAGTTAGTGCTTTTTGAGGTTTTCTTGGTTCTAGACCTTTATGGCTATCTGGTTTTGCTGCTTTTCCCCATTTTCTTAATAAAGATATCTGACTATATAGGTTACAAAGTCTGTAAGAAAAAACTACACACACTTTAAGTTTGGTAGAGTGAATCAGAGGGGCAATATCTATTTTGATTATACGACAAGGGTAACATTAAAGGCAACTTTGTTTAGAGCATAGAATGGTTAACATACCTGGTTGTGGATGTGGTTGCTGGTTGTTTAAATCTTCAGATAGGAAGGTATTATTGCATGTATTTGAAGCTAACGTTTTGTTTTCTTTAATGCTCAGAAATTATATTTTTATTTCAGGTTATATTTTATCTTGGCCAATATATTATGGCTAAACGACTATATGATGAGAAGCAACAGCATATGGTATATTGTTCAAATGATCTTCTAGGGGATTTGTTTGGGGAACCAAGCTTCTCTGTGAAAGACCACAGGTAAATTACTCAGTTTCATTCTTTGTAGAAATCATAGCTGGGAAACATTTCCTAGCAGTGAGACAGATAACTTGACTAACCTCTCTACACCTTAGTTTCCATATTTGTGAAATAGAATATTTTAAATTTTGTCAACAGGTCACACAAGAGACAGTGTGTAGAAAATGCAGTGTTTAGCAAACAGGAAGCATTTGCATATTAGCTATAGTTACTGTAAGTTATTATACCAATCCCATCCAAAGGCAGTCTTTGTACCATCGTGTGTGTGGAAGCTTAAATTTGATCTGTAAGTACTTTGGAGATAATTTTGTCAAAAATTATTATGGTGCTTAATTAGCTGGCCTTAACATAGGTGACATTTTGCAGTTATTTTGTTAGTAATTGAAGAGTATTTTTAAAATTTATTCTTCAATTAAATCTGAAATTCTTTGTCCCGTTTGATTTAGCATAGTGTTGAACTTAGAATGTATTTTTTATTAAATCATTTTTATTGGGGGCTTGTACAACTCTTATCACAATCCATACATCCGTTTTGTCAAGCACATTTGTACATTTGTTGCCACCATCATTCTCAAAACATTTGCTTTCTACTTGAGAATGTATTTTTAATAAGTGAGATTGATAGATTTCTCCTGAAAACAGTTACCTACATCCTAACTGCTATATAGTGTTCAATAACAACAGAAAGATAATAACTAAGTAGGATATTTCACAACTTTCAAGTAACTTTATTATTAGAGATGTGCTATATATTCAAGACAGAATGCTAAAGAGCGTAGGGGGAAAATAAAAGATTATATATATATATAAATTTTTATTTTATTGGGGGCTCTTACAGCTCTTAGCACAATCCATACATATATCCATTTTGTCAGACACCTCTTTACATATGTTGTCATCATCTTTTCTTTATCATTTTATTGGGGGCCTCATACAACTTATCACAATCCATACATACATCAATTGTGTAAAGCACATTTGTACATTCATTGTTCTCATTATTCTCAAAACATTTGCTCTCCACTTAAGCCCCTGGCATCAGCTCCTCATCATCCCCCCCCCATGCCCCCTTGATAATTTATAAATTATCCTTTTTTAAATTTTTTCATGTTTTACACCGACTGCTTTCTCATTTCACCCATTTTTCTCCTGTCCATTCCCCTGGGATGGGGGCCATACGTCAATCATTGTGATTGGTTCCTCCTTACTCCCCCGCCCCCCCTTTACGTTCCTGGTATTGCTTCCCTTATTGGTACTGAGGGGTAAAAGATATTTTTATATTGTGTGTTTTAATCTATTTGTGAGCATGCCATTTAATTCTCTGGTCCATTTTGATAATATTTATAATGTATAAGGATCCTTTTCTTGACAAACCACTTCTGGGTTTTTTTTGTTTGTTGTTTGTTTTTTAAACCACTTCTGTTATACATTCACTTACATTATCATTTTCTACTTGGCATTGAGATGTTTTTCATAACAGGCCTAATTTTAATAAATTGTAACATAGGTGATTGTTTTTACCATTTGAATATTAAATTTCAGTGATACTATTTGTTTCTGATATTAAAAACGTAATTTTAAAACTGTCTTGAATTATAATTGTTGAGAGATTGAACACTGGGAATTACTGACTTGAAAGGAATAAGAACATGAATGTCGTTTTTCATGAATTTACAGAGGAACTCTGTCACCACCAGTCGCAAGGATTAAGGGAGATCATTGTAGATGACACGTTCCTCTTAACGCTGGAGAATTAATGAGAATTAGAAATAGCTGTGAAAAACCATATCTAAAAATTATTAGCTTGTTTTTAAAGAAAGAAAAACATATCAGATGTAAAAGAATACTACAATCAGAAAGTTGTCGTCTTACTGGGACATCAGCCCCAGGAAGCAGAGTATTTTCTTCATTCCTGGTTTACTCCAGTATCCAAATCAGTGGGGCAGACTGGGTGCTTAGTCTAAGACCAAAGGAGGCTCATTAGATGTTTGGCCAAGCTTGCTACAAGTCTAGATTATAATACATTTCCTAAAATAAGTGGGGTTTGCATAACCCACTACTTCTTTGGGCAGTCTGCTTTTAAGTATTAAAGTTCAGAAATTTTAAAGTGAGTGTGATAAATCTGCCTCTTTTTATACCACACCACCAGATACTTGGTTAAAATCTAAACAAAGCACATGTCAGGAAATGAAGATAGGGAATTTTTATGCTAGGTAGGGCTTAGTGATTGCATTAAAAGTAGTTATGTGTCATTATGGTGTCGATAATTACCTCTGCTTCTTAAGGCCTAGTATCTTGCTAAGAATATAATTTGAATACAATAATTTGAAACTTTGTTTTGAGTGTAATAGTGATGTGCGTTTAAAAGTCTAGTTAAATCCAGTTTAATAAGTTATTTTAAATTAAAACATTTCTTGATTTTTCTCCCTACAAGGAAAATATATACAATGATCTACAGAAACTTGGTGATAGTAAATCAACAGGGTAAGTAATTTTGAATATAAACACATTCTTAAAAAAAACAAAACAAACACATTCTAAGAAATTTCTTTATACATACATCATTTAATAATAACGGTATTAAAAGTTGCTTTAGCTATATATTTAATAATAACAAAGATAGATTTAATATGAAGAAATACATAGGAACTAAAAAAGCATACTACTATTATACTGGAGATTATATTTAAATATCATGTTATGTTGATTTAATGGGATGTTTTTAAGAAGGTTAATGAGTAAAATTGAAAAGTTCTCTCTTAATACAGAGATGTGATCAAGCATTGAGAATATGTTCAAAAACTGGCAAGTATAGATACCCAGATAGGACCATTTGAAAGGATGGGGTTTTGTTTTGAGTTATACAGGTACCATTTTGCACCCCTATCTCGCCCCAACCCCCTCCAGTTGTTTTTTTATGCTACCTTACCTTTAACCTTGTGGTTATTTGGGGGATACATGTTGTGATAATCTGGTCCTTTCTCAGAAAGATAAACATTTGTATGCTATTGTAGTTCATATGTATTTCCTTCATGTTAAATTTATTTTAAAATCATTAAATGCATACACTGTGGAATGCTGGTAAATGTTGGACCAGTTTTCGGTGGCGGTAGCCCTGATTTGTCGTGGCTACTGATTTTCATGGTGTAAATCCTTACATTGTGGCCAGTTTCAGGCTGTGAATGTGTAGTTTGGAAGAGATGTACACGCTCTACTAGAAAGTGCCGATAGGAATCAGCTCCAGCATACTTCAGTCTCCTTAAAGCCCTTCCTCGAGTAAAATTAAGACCTGCTCTCAGAAGCTTACCTAGGTCTAGGACTGAATGACTCGGACTACTCCCATGCCCCCCACTCTCCCATGTTCAGGCTTTACTGTTATAGTTCCATTTTACACTAACTTGCATTTCCTATGTCCCGCTCTGGTTTGCATTCTGTTTCATGTACCTTGTGCCAAAATGAATCTAGATAAGTTTAAAAGATAAAAAAATTACAATATATTTAAAAGGTACTCACCTTGAATGATGAGGCTGTTAGGGGTGCCAACTTCCCGTGTAGTGGGAGATCTGAGTAGAATTTACAGGTGATCCTTGAACAACAACAATAGGGGTGTGACCTGCCTGGGCCCATGTATATGGACATTTTTTCCCCCCTGTTGGCTCTTGCGATGAGCTCAAGCGTTGCTAGTATTCACTTAACAACGCCCTTTCATGCTCCTATTTGACTCCTTTTCCCCTTGCCTTGTGTATCAGACAACAGTCTTGCTGATTTTTACCTTTTCAACTTCTCTAGAATTGCTCTATTTTATGCCTTAGTTGAGGCTTTAATGCATTTTCATTTGTTTTATTACAGCTACTGTCTAATTCTGGTTTCTCTTCTGTTTTCTGAGAGTTGTTTGCCACTTCTCCATAAAATTACTGTTTTAGGGGTCCCTTATTGCTCTCTGAGGGAGCCTGGTGGTACATTGGTTAAGTACTGGGCTGCTGAGAAAGTCCAAGTTTCAAACCTAGCAGCCATGTGCTACAGGAAAAGATTGGCAGCATACTTCTGTAAAGATTTACAGCTTCGGAAACCTTGTTGGTCATTTCTACTTATATCCTATAGTGTGAGTCAGAATTGACTGAAACAGTGTCTTGCTCTTTAGATAAAATGATTGCAGTGAGCTAGCAAGTGAGTTTTATCTCTGATTAAAGTTTTTCCATGGTGAGTGACTGCAGCTTTGCCTCACGGCAAATTCCGTAGCAGCAGCAGAGAAGAATGTAGTTATGTGGGAAGACAGCAGGAGCTGGCACTACTTGTTGACATTCTTAGGCTATTTAGCAAGACACCGGGCCCTTGATGGTCTGATTCTGTGTCTGTTCCAGTATTAATGAAATACTTGTAATTCTTACAACGGGCGCTATGAGATCCTGAATCTAGAATGAACTTCCCCAACGGTGTACCACCTATAAAACTTCCTGATTTATTTTATTGGCCCTCATCCCTTATCTGCTTGCTACCAAATGATCATTGCTCTCTCTTCTCCATGACTTAATCTATAATACTTCCTTTACTACACAGAGCTCCTGTCCTATGTCTTTATTAGAACTGAGTTACTGATACGCATCTCTTAATCTAATGTGGGGGCAGGCGCCTTTGGGACGCACATTAACATTTGCTGGAAGGTAAAATTATGAAAGGGTTTGTACTGGGCTGATGTGCATTTCATAGCACTTTCTTAATTTGTGCTTCTGTGGTTCTCTTCTGTCAGAACCATTGGACTCTGCCACATCTGTGAGTGAGAACAGGTGTAAACTTGAAGATGGGAATGTTCAAAAGGTAATCTTTAAATTTTCTCATTCAAGTGTAATGTTTCTTGAAAGTTGGGAAGTTTTACATAAAACAAATGTTAACTTCTTCCTGTTGGTTATAAGTTTAGTTTTCCTATGCACTTTTTTTTCTTTTCTCCTCTTGAATGCTTAGGACTCTATGCAAGAGTTACAGGAAGAGAAACCTTCATCTTCAGATTTGATTTGTAGACCAACTACCTCATCTAGAAGGAGAGCGATTAGTGAGACGGGTATGTATGACTAGTACGTGGGCACAGGCAGCCTTCTGGTGTTCTTAAAAGAAATTGTTCTCGTCTTTTTGGATTAGATGAATGGACTTCTGATTTTTTCTTTCTTGTTATGATTTTATTTGGTTTAAAATTGCTATTTTAGCAACAGTTGTGTGTGTGTGGGGTGGGGGTGGTATTTGCCCCCTGGTTGGCTACAAGAGACAGAGTTTACTGTACCCTACTGGGATTTATAACAATACAGTTCTCAAATATTATTTCAGTATAATAGGGGAAAAGGATAGAGACAACTTTTAACCATGATTCTTAAGCACCTTAGCAGTTAAAAATGTGCACTGTTGCTATTATATGGTAAGACACTGAGTTTTAAAATAAAGTAAATCGCATTTTAGAAACAAAGAAATGGTAAAGAAAATACACAAGCATTTTTACAAGGAAAAGAAAGACTGTTGCCTGATTGTAAGCAGTAAGACAGGAGAACTAATGCTGTGAGATTCAGGGGCTCCTGTCCAACTCCTCTGACTTTCCTGTTGTCAGGCATGCCTCAACTCTCCATCCTTCTTTACCTCTTTTGAAACCAGCCATTTGTCCCACAATGCTCTTGCTCTGCTGGGCTTGATAATTGTTTCAACAGCCACACAGAATTCTCAGACAATACTCAACAGTATAGTATTTGGGAAGTTCACAGGTCACCACAAGCCAGGATTAGTAAACAGTAAAGATGCCGTCATTGGTCCTATCAGAGCCTCTCTGCAGCCAGCAACCAACTTTTTTGTTCCTTAGCCTTTTGGTCTCTTGACTTGCCTCTGTGGGCCCGGGAACCTGCCTGCTGTTCTGCCTCACAGTCTAAGCACTGCTCCTCTTCCATTTCAGGCTCCCTGCCACAGCCTGTGGTGTGTCTGGTCCTAGTCTTCATCACTTCGGACAGATCTTGAATGAGCTCCACTGGTGGCTTTTCTTCTGTGGTCCTTGTATTTCTCTTCTCTGAACTTCTAAGATGGCTCATTCTTATGTGGGAGTGTGGTTTCTGCCTTTCAGCAGACCATACTCCCAAGGAAACAAAGGGTGCAGACTTCACACCCTCTGCTATAGTGAATAATCCCACCCTACTCCTTCCCCTTAGCATAGCAGAGAACTCCCTCCAATGTAGGATTATAACCACAGGCAAAAAGGCTACAATGTATAATGCATCACATAAGGGATTTTGTCTGGAAGTACAATATCAATGTACTCCATCTCAAAAATAGATTAGTCTGGAGGGGAAGTGGGAAGCCAACAAACCCAGGCACAAGTGATCTAAAATCGATAGCAAGTAGAGCGTAGGATGCCTGATGGGGCTTGATCAAGTGCAATGTAGCCGAGAGGAATTACTAGGAGCTGAATGAAGGCTGAACATGATAGTGGGATTCCAGAAGGAAAATAAAAGGAAATAGAGGAAAGAACTAAGAGGCAAAGAACATTTATAGAGGTATAAATACAGACACACATATGTAAATATGCTTATATATAGTGATAGGGACATAGTTCTATGAACATATATGTTAAATTATGTGGCAGGTGGACATTGGGCCTTTACTCAAGTACTCCATTCAACGCAAGAATACTTTGTTCTATAACCTGGTATTCTCTGATGCTCACCTTTCCAACATGATCACAGAAGACAAAATGGGTACATAAGCAAATGTGAAGAAAGCTGATGGTGCCCGACTATCAAAAGATAATAGCATCTGGGGTCTTAAAAGCTTGAAGTTAAACAAGTGTCCACCTAGCTGGGAAGCAACAAAGCCCACATGGAAAGAAGCACACTAACCTGTGATCATGAGGTGTCAGTGGGATGAGGTATCAGGCATCAGAAGACCCAGAACAAACAATCATAACGATGCGAACGAGGGGGGGGGCTTGTGGGGCAGTGACAGGCAGAGTAGAAAAGCCCATCTGTAGACAATTGGACATACCCTCACAGAAGGGTGACAAGAAGGAATGACCCAGACAGGATGCAGTATAGCACTGATGAAACATCCAAGATTCCTCTAGTCCAGCGATGCTCAACTTATGGGTTGCGACCCCTTTGGGAATTGAACTACCCTTTTACAGGGGTCGCCTAAGACCATCGGAAAATTTCACAATGCATAATTGCATATTGTTTTGTGATTAATAACTGCTTTAATTATGTTTAATTACATTCAGTTTGTAACAATGAAAATATATCCTGCATATTACATTACGATTCATAACTAGCAAAAAATTTTATGGTTGGGGGAGCTCACCACAACATGAGGAACTGTATTAAAGGGTCGCGGCATTAGGAAGATTGAGAACCACTGCTCTAGTTCTTTAATGCTTCCTCACCCCCCACCTACCCCCACTAGCATGACCCCAATTATACCTTACAAATCTGCCAAACCAGAGTATGTACACTGGTACAGATAAGAGCACTTGACCTAGGGAATCATGGACAGATAAACACCTCAGGAACAATAATGGAAGTAGCGATACCGTGAGGGTAGGGGGAAGGTGGAGGGGGAGAATGGGGAAACTGATAACAATGATTGACATGTAACCACCCTTACCCCCCCAAGGGTGATGAACAGTAGAAATATGGGTGAAGGGAGACCGGTCAGTGTAAGATATGAAAATGATAATTTATAAATTATCAAGGGATCATATGGGTGGGAGGGAGAACATGAGCTGATACCAAGGGCTCAAGTAGACAGAAACTTGAAAAAGATGATGACAACATATGTACAAGTGTGCTTGGTACAATGGATGTATGGATTGCTCGAAGAACTGTAAGAGCCTCTAATAAAATGATTTTAAAAATATATATATGCCCATACTAGAACATTATAGATAAGGTCATTAAGGAACCAATGGCCAGTTATTAACATGAAAAAAATCAAGTTAAGTATGTACCTTGTGCCAAAATGAATCTAGATAAGTTTAAAAGATAAAAAATTACAATATATTTAAAAGGTACTCACCTTGAATTTGACAATCAGTAAAGAAGAACATTAAATTCACATAACAGAAAAAAGGGAAAGAAATTTATCACAGTAAATATGAAGGGACTTCAAAATGTTCATTGAAGACTTAAAAGTTATGGAATTTCCCCACAAACCTTTTGAAGCTCCCTTGACTTATATATATGGGGGACCAAAAAACCCCAAACCCAATGCCATTTAGTGGATTCCAGCTCATAATGACTATAAACGATATTTCTGAGGCTGTAAATATTTATCGGAGCAAATAACTACCTTTCTACCATGAATTTGAACTGATCTTGCAGTTAATATCTAACAGTTACCAACAATGCCACCAAAGGTGTGGATTTTAGTGGGCTTTTGTTTTGTTTTGCTTTGTAAGTATTGAAAAAACCAAAAATGTCTTTTGTATTGGTGTATCGAATTAGCAATGGTAAATTTTGCTCCTCTCTTCTAATTTACATTAGTATTGATAATGCTGTTGTTGGGTGACGTTGAATTGATTTAGACCTACCCTGTAGGACTGAGTAGGACTGTTGCTTCATAGGGCTTCCTTGTTGTGAATCTTTATGGGGAAAAAGTGTTGAGCCATTTCTCCCCAGAGCAACTGATGGGTTTGAATCACTGGCTTTTGGTTGGCAATCAAGTATCAGCCCTTGCACTACCAGAGCTGAGCACCTGACTGATACTGTAGTGGGATATAAATTGGGTAGTTGAACCTTTATAGATTATTCTTTTTAAAGACTTAGTGTATTAGTCTGGATACTTTGGAGAAACAAATCCACAGCAACTCATGTATAAGAGAGTTTTATGTAAAGAAAATGTGCATCACGAAAACATCCCAAGCCCACAAGTCCAACATTAACCCATTAACCCAGCACCAGTCCACAAAGTCCTCCACCTCACAAAACAGAGGCAATGATGCCGACTGCAGGAGGAAAGCTGAGTCAGTGAATGAACGAACAAGCATCTCAGCACTAGCAGGGGTCTCCACACGGCTGCTCCAGCACCCAGGGCTGCATCAGGATAGGTCCATGCAGCTTCTCCTTGGGGATGTCTTGTAGGAAGTCAGTCTTGCAAGCTGAAGCAGGGAACTGCGAAGGCAGCTGAATCCTGGTGCACCATCACAAAACAAAGAGAACCCGAGAACTAGAAAGGCGAGGCTCACCACCCATTTATCCCTCCGCCTTTCAATTAGCCCCACATGTGATTGTCGGCCAGGTTGGCACAATTAACTAACTCACTTAGCATTCTTCCTATTAACCCAGTACCTTCACTTCTAGGAATGTATTCCAAGTAGTCAGAAATGGAAAGACTGTGTATGGGGATATGTGTTACGTTTGAGAACATACTCTGCGTGACAGTAGAGATTGCTATTTGTCACTCTGGTGTAGCTCTGGTCAGCTCTTGGTCTGTAACAGTCTTCTGAATGTCTGTTTCTGCTTATTCTTTCTCCACACAGTGCAGGAGGTGCTGTAGAAGGTAGATTGGATTGGTCACTCTTCTACTTAGCTGTTTTGGTGACTTACCATTAGCTTTCAAATATAATCCACATTTTTCACCCTAACCTACAAGACCCTGATCTGTCTTTACCTTGGTTTCTTGCCTTTTCCCCTTTTTTCTGTGGTTCAGCCTTACTGATTGCTTGGTTCCTCAGATAAACTGGTCACGCTCTTTCCTGCTTTATGGCCCTTGCACATAGCTTTTGTCTGCCTGGAGCTCTTCCACCTCAGCCTTTCAGAGGCTACTTCCTCACTTTTTTGTTGTTGCTTCCAGGTGACCTCCTCAGAGAGGCTGTCCCTAGCCATACAGAAAGTAGGTCCCTCTTGTCAAGCCTTCTTTTGTACTCTGGTTTCTTTTATAGCATTCATTTCCATTGGTGAGTAACTATTTCTGTTAACCTTGATATCTGAATGTAAACTCCCTGAGGAGAAAGGGAAGGAGGGAGGGATGGCTGGCTTCTCTCACTGGTGGGGTCCATAATCTCACACTCTCAGTCTGAAGCAGATGTTCAAATGTATGGGTTAAATATAAATAGTTTGATTATGCTGAGTGGTATATCAACCTATATTATGTATAGTATTTTCTACAGCCATTAAAAATAATGTAAAAGAATATTTAATGGTATCGGGAAAGGCACATGATTTTAAATGAGAAAAACAATCTATGTAATAGATTTTAAATGAGAAAAACAACCTACGTACACACACATACACCGAGATGATTTTTGACCGTTGGTGACTGCTCTGTAAGGTTTTCTTGGCTGTAATCTTTTCAGAAACAGGCTGTCAGGCATTCTTCTGTGACACTGCTGGGTAGAATGACCCACCTTAGATTTGTAATAGAGGGTAAACCATTTGCCCCACCTAGGGATCTAGTGGTATATACATTGTTACTAGGACTCCTTCCTTGGTATCTGAAGAAGATTGGTATCAAAATTCATAGATGTTCAAAAAACTCAAAACCAAGACCCACTGCCATTGAGTTGATAGCAACTCAGCAATTCTGTATGGCCGAGTTTCCTAAAATTGTCTTACCTGTAAGGAGCAGTCAGCTTCATCTTCCTCCTGCAGTGAGGCTGGATTTGAATTGCCAATATTTTGGTTAGCAGCCTAGCACCTGACCCACTTATTACACCACCAGGGTCCCTTATCGATTCTCAAGTCCCTTATATGAAATGGCCTCCTGCTCACAAATGACCATGTAAATGTTGTGTTATAACTTTAAGCCTCCCTTTTAGTCTTTGAGGAATTGCTTTGACCACCTAAGTGCCACCTATCCCCTCCTCAATATTTTCAGTGTGCTATTGGGTAAATCCACAGATTCAGAACCGACAAATAAAGGAGGGTCAAATATGTGACCATATGGAATGAATTTCAAAATTTTTTTAAAGAAGTAAATAGCTGAAAAAATAAAGAAGTTATTGTACTAAAATGTTGATAGTGATTATTTCAGTGTTGACAGTACAGTGGGTTGTATTTGGTTTGTTAATATTTTTTCTGTTTAAATTTACTGAGTAATGTACTACTTTATTTATTTATTTATTTTTAATGTGCTGCTTTAATAATTAAGAAAATCCCCAAGTTACTATTGTTTTTCAACCTGACTTCCAGATAACTTTTTCATAACTGTATTTGCTGCCATAGAGTCAGTTCTGGTTCATCCTATCAAACAGCATAGAATGGACCAGGCTCATGGTTTCAAGTTGGTGACCTTGCTAACGCATTACGCCACCAAGGCTGTATCACTGTATTAGACTCCTAGAAACCCTTTGGGATTCTGAAGCTGTAAATCTTTAGAGGAACAAGAAAACCCCACCTTCCAAGATATAGCTAGTGGGTTTGAACTGCTGATCTTGTAGTTAGCAGTCTAGTGAATAACCAGGGTCTCCCAAATTATTTTTTAATGGAGGTGAAAATATGGATCCAGAAACATGATTTAGACTTCCAGCCCTTCCCATTCAACCACAATCACCTTGTTTTTAATGGCGTGCTTCAGAACTTACATTCAGAACTTAAGGGGATCATAAAAATACAGGATAGGCTGGGTTTTTTCGAGAATTTAGAGGGGAAAAGAACTGACTTCTCGGGAGCCTGGGAAAAAATGAGCTGATACCAGGGGCTCAAGTAGAGAGCAAATGTTTTGAGAATGATGATGGCAACAAATGTACAAATGTGCTTGACACAGTGGATTATGATTAAGAGTTGTATGAGCCCCCAATAAAATGATTTTTAAAAATTGACTTCTGACTAGGTCAAGAGGGAGTTGGAGGTTGGAGCGAGCAAAATTGTGAGAGTTGTACTAGCCCAAAGCACACGGATTATGTTTCATATTCTTTCATTGCCTGACAGGCTTCCTATGAGTCGGAGTAGACTGGCAGTGAGTTTGGTGTTTTATATATTTGCAAGGAGCATCCTTATAACTCAATCCTTACAGAATTGTGATGCAGGAATGCTTGTAGGATAGAGAAATTGCTGTCAAAATGGCAAACCATTGTACATTTCCCCCAACAGTACATCAAAATGTCCATTCAAGTTTTCACAGATAAACTGAAGAATAATCTCATTCAAATTTTGTTACTCCGGTATTTTGAAATGCTGCCTCATTTTTGTTCACATTCCTTGATGACTAGGAGGTTGGCAATCTTTTATATACTTGTTAGCAATTTATTTTTCTTTTATGAGTTGCCTTTTTTTAATCTTTGATGTTATTTTTCTTTTGATGTGTAGTTTCTTCTAGTGTGATATTTTTTGTCTGGTTAGGAAATTTGCTGTCAGTCCTGACAGTCTAATCTTCACAGCCCCTAAAAGGCTCTGTGCCATTGTGCCATTGTGTTATACTGCATTTCTCCACCCAACATTGTAATAATATTAAGTACTTGAATGGTAAGAGCTCTTTCTGTCTGCTTGGAATTTTTTTTTTTCCATGTCTGGTGCCTATGTCTAGTTTATGCTCCTGACAACATTTAGGTAACATTCTGACTCGTCCTACATTACCTTTATGTATTATTTATTTTTATCTTTCTATTATTAATTAAGTGAGCAGGTCATCAGTTTTATGTTTGGCAATTCATCAAACTTATTGCCTTGGCTTGTTTCCATCATAGCTTTCTTCCCACATTCCTTTTGCCTTTTTAATTAGGGTAATTTCATATACACACACTGCAAACTATTTGCCAATTTAACAATTTTTACTTGTACAATTCAGTGACATTAAATTTCTAATTTTTGAAGTCACATATAGTTATTTAAAATGGACAGCTTTCTTCCATTTGTGAGTTGTGAGGTTGTGAGTACTGAAGAAATTGAAACACTTAGAATAACCTCAAAATAAATGTTTTTGATTCTTTTCAGAAAAATAAAAGCTAAATTTTTGTATTTCTAAAGTTTTGCTTTAACAGAAAAATAGATTGGTTGAAATATAAGATTGCTTAAAAGCACTGGAGCAGCGGTTCTCAACCTGTGGGTTGCGACCCCTTTGGTGGGGTCGAATGACCTATTCACAGGGGCCGTCCAGTTCATAACAGTAGCAAAATTCCAGTTATGAAGTAGCAACGAAAATAATTTTATGGTTGGGGGGTCACCACAACATGAGGAACTTTATTAAAGGGTTGTGGCATTGGGAAGGGTGAGAACCACTGCTCTAGAGGAATTTATTGAAACTTTCAGAGGTAGTTTTGAAAGGTTATAAAATGCTTTAAAATCCTTTTTATGGGGCACAGCTGTACCTTAGTTGGGCAGATTCAATAGGCGCGTTCACTTTTGGAATAGTAATGTTTATTAAAAGTACACTTCAGTGTATATAGTCATGTAAGACAGTTCGTGTTTCTAAGTAACTTACAGTTAAGATTTCTAAATGAATTAGAGTGTGTTAAGTTGATTTAGCTCTTTTTCCTTATCTCTCCAGAAGACAATTCAGAGGAATTAGCTGTTGAAGTCCACCGAAAACGCCACCGATCTGATAATGTTTCCCTCTCCTTCAATGAGGGTGTCGCACTGTGTGTCATCAGGGGGATATGCTGTGAAAGAAGCAGTAGCAGTGAGTCCGTAGAAACACCATCAATTCCGGTAACTTTCTCATTTTAAATAAAACTATGCACTCTTTTTCCCAAAGGAAATCTAGTGGTAACCTTAGCAAGAGTAAAGATAGGACACACGTGTGCTGTGAGAGCAGCACTACTGAGCCCAGTGGGGTATTTTCCTGTTCAATCAGACTGCTGTAACGGGCCCTCCGCCCAGCCCCTCCAGATTTGGGGAGAATAGTGGAAGAAGGTAGTCCAGTTGCACTGCAATATGTTGGTAAAATTAATACCAACATGAATTATGTCACTCTATATACTGGAGAATTTTTGTGGACAATTCCACCAATAATAAAATATACTGTAGCATTATCAAAATTTAGAAGTTCTATTTCTTGAAAATTAAGAGAACGGAATTGTAAATTTGGTTTAATTAGACATCTTGGCAAGTAAGTATATTTTAAGCTTTTGGATTAAAGTTATCTGTATTACTACAGACTTCAGCAAAGAAGTCAGCGTAGTCTGAGCTTAACATTTGTATACACTGGGAAGGTGTATTTATTGGCCTTCTGAAATAGGAGTGTGGTAATTCTTGGATGGTGGGAGAGTATTAAAACTTCATGATTATTAATTGAGAAGAAAAAAGGGACTTTGTACTTCTTTCGAGTTACAGACTTGGAAAATCACAAGGAGCAGTTCTACCTTGTCCTTTCAGGGAGTTATGAGTCTGCATCAACTGGATGGTAATGAGTTTGGTTTGGGTTATTGTTATTAATCAAAATTCCCAACTATTAGCCAGGTGTAAAATTCTTCATGATATCAATGAACAAAAGTTGGCAAAAATATTTTGCTAACCATAGTAGTTTTTTTTCCCTCTCATCATCAAACATTTCTTTTAAATTATGTGAAAATTGTAATCTTTTTGAAACAAGACAGTGTCTCATCATTATCCTGAGCATCAATGATTATTTATGGTTCTCTAGAAGGTACAGAAGAATGAATCAATTACGATAGTGGCTGCATTTTATTTTCCACTTTATTTGTGATTGAATGCGGAGAGACATGACTACTCTAAAGATAATAGCATTTTCACTGAGCTGTTACTTAAGTTGGCCACTAGATGGCATGGTGAGCTCCTATTCAGCCAGAGAACAAGTTCTTCGGTAATTTATGTGCCTTTTCTGTGCTTGGCTCCACATTTGGCACTTGAGCTAGTGGTAACCAAGGGAGACAAGTTCCCTGCCCTCATAAGGAGAAATATTATAAACAAGTAATTAAAATATTTAGCAAGTGACAAAAAGAGTGAGATTATTGAGAGTGGGTAATGATGAGGTTTAGAGAGTGAAAAGGAACATGAGAGAGTGGCTGACTCCAAACAAGGTGATTATGGAAGACTTCAGAGAAGGAAAGTGGTAAATTGGGAGAAAGGGTTGAAGGATAAAAAGGAGCTGCTTACTCAGGAGTGCAGGGATTTGCGTTTTGGGCATAGTTAGCAATATACTAACTCATTGGTTCATTTGTTTGACCGTAGGCTTCTGACCAGAAGCTGGACACTTGAAAGGATAAAATATTTCTTCTCAGAATAAAATTATACATCTATCAGCCAAACAGACTTAATGAGTGTATGTGATCTTGAAAATTGCTGACTCAACACAGATTTCATGTTTGGTTAATCACTCACTGTTTTTCATTCGATGCCAACTCACAGCGCCCTTATCGGATGGGGTAGAACTGTCCCTGTGAGTTTCCAAGACTGGCTCCACAGCAGTAAAAAGCCCCTGCTTCTTTTGAGGAGCTGCTGGTGGTTTCAAACTTGCATTTAGCCCAACTAGTAGCTACCAGGACTCCTTAGTCCTATACGTCTCTCTTATAAAAACTCCTGCCCCTTACAATTCTGTGGCTCTTGTGGCTGAATTCTTGCTTGTGAAAGCTTTTGACAGGGCCTCCCACTTTAGTTTATCTTGTGGGAAGATCACAGTCATCATTTGGTATCTTCATCCATGTATTTGTCAAGGGAGAACATCCTTTTGGTGTTTTATTGGAGTTAAAGAAAAGGGTATTCCTCTGACTTTTTCTTTTATGTTTAATTGAAGAACAGAGGGTATATGCTAGGCTCTTGTGGATATCACATCATGCTATCTTATTATCTTAGTAGCCTCAAACTCCATTGTATTCATAGGGCAACTAAGACTTAGGAAGTTTTAGTAGCTTGCCTATATTCCCACAACTAATAATGATCACAAATGGGCTGCAGATAAAAACAAAGGATTTCATTCAAAACTTTTAAAAAATATGTCTCACAAACCTTAGGCTTTTATGTAAAGGGCCTGATCTGATAGTAAATATTTGATCTTGGTGAATTCCTACATTCTCTCTTGCAGCAACTAAACTACTGAGGTGTAGTATGAAAGAAGGCATAGACCATAGATGTATATAAATGAGCATGGCTGTGTACAAATACAATTTTTATTTGCTAGGCCCGTTTGCTGACCTATTTGTTGACCCTGACATAGAAGAATGCTTTTCAGACTTAATTTTTCTTGAGATTTACCTCCTTATTTTAAAAAATAGTATACTAAAGATTTTAGTGAATTCATGTATCTAGTTAAGGAACCCTGGTGGTGTAGTGGGTTATGTGTTGGACTAACTACAAGGTCAGCACTTCAAAACCACCAGCCCCTCTGTGGGAGAAAGATGAGGCTTTCTGCTTAGGTAAAGATTTGCAGCGTTGGAAGTTCTTGTGGTTAGTTTTGCTCTGTCCAAAGTGTCGCTCTGAGTCAGAATTGATTTGATGGCAATGAATTTGAGGTAGTTAGGTTATCTTATTGGAGATATTTGTATCTAGCTTGATTGTATTCTAGCTTGAGTTAAGATTCCAATCTAATTGTCAAACCCCTCATTAGAAATCAGCTATAGCTTGATGAATAAATGATCCATTTATTACTAGTACTACTTTTATAACCTATTCTTAAAAACCGGTTTAGTGTTGAGGGCCCTCAGTGGTTATAAAATAATAAGCTTTGTTTTCATAGATGATTGGGATGTTGGACATCATGTTTTTTCTAGTTCTTTTTTTTTTTAAATCATTTTATTAGGGGCTCATACAATTCTCATTACAATCCACACGTACATCAATTGTGTAAAGCGCATTTGTACATTCATTGCCCTCATCATTCTCAAAACATTTCCACTCAAGCCCCCGGCACCAGGTCCTCATTTTTCCCCTCCCTCCCCGCTCCCCCCTCCCCTATGTGCCCTTGATAATTTATAAATTGTTATTTTGTCATATCTTGCCTTGTC